TATTTTTAAAAAACCCACCACCACCCGCCAGAGGGGAAACCAGGAAAAAAAATTTTTTTTTTTTTTTTTTTTTTTTTTTTTTTTTTTTTTTTTTTTGTCAGACAAAGACAAATGTTTGGAGAATGTTTGGAGGAGGGAATGCAATCCCCCAAACCAAAACCTAAAAACAGAACTAATTCTCAAACATGACATTTTCAGCGTCATAATGTGGGATCATTTGCTGCCAGTGGTGTCTGTGTTTTAAATAGAAGATGGACTAATGAGCATAGAGAAATACAATCAAATATTAACCTTACAATACAATTCATGTTAACCTAAAATCAGCAAGATGGACAGCTTGGACAGGAATTCACTTCTACCCCAATTTTTCGATTGTAGGTTGTAACTATAACCTGATATCAATGCCAACGGAGAGTATTTGTAAACATCTCAACAGAACCGCAATGCTTGGCTCCTCTGTCCCCTCCGCAGGTGGTGAACCTCCAGTACAGCGAAGTGCAGGACAGAGTGATGCTCACCGGCAGGCACATGGTGCGGGACGTCAGCTGCAAGAACTGCAACAGCAAGCTGGGCTGGATCTACGAGTTTGCCACCGAGGACAGCCAGCGGTACAAAGAGGGCCGCGTCATCCTGGAGAGGGCGCTGGTGAGGGAGAGCGAAGGCTTCGAGGAGCACGTCCCCTCGGACAACTCCTGAGTTCCCGGACCCGCTCGCGCCCTCCCGCTCCGCTTCTGCCTTCCCTCCACGATGCACATCATCACCTGCACACTTGGGGTGGGGGTATGGGGGGGGGACCTGTGAGGTTTTGACTTCAGCTTCCCTCTCCTTCCCTAACCTTTGACCTCTTTCAATTTTTTTAAAATGATAAATAAATAAATCGTGTGCTGGATAGGCATCCCTCGCCCCCCCAAAAATATTCCCAAAGTCCCTCACCGCAGCTGTAACGAGGTGTCCCTTCACTCACCCGCATAAGCATGATCACTGAGTTTACATCCGACACACTTTGACGCTAACTGAGTTTACGGAGGAAACATGGACGTGGTTGAGCTGTTTCTGTTTATGGAATTCAGAGAGAGCTGATTCTCCTTGCAGAGCGTCGTAAAATGAGCCTCTACTTCTAATTTTTGTGATATTTGTGCTCCCGTGTTGTGTTGTGTTGTGGGACCATCACTTCTTCACACCGAATGCATTGAAGACACCAGCATGGCTGTTTATTCTCCGTCGGTTACATTCTTTTTTTCTTCTTAGCTTCTGGTTTAACGGACGTAGTGGCGTTTAAAAAAATCTCCGTTCTCATTACCAGCGATACAGTGAGGACCGCACAGAATGATGTCATATTTTAATATTCTTTGTGCTCAACAGTGATTCAGCTCCTGCTTCGATAGTGTACATACGGTTTGATTGACGCGACCTACAGCTTCTGCTCATGATGTGAAAGTGGTACCGTTGTAGTTGTTACCGTGGATGCTGGGCCTGCCTGTGTGCCGTGAGAAGAGCAAAGTGTCACTGTGACATCCTTCTTGTTTAGAAGATGATGAGTGCTACCTGAAAGTAGCTGCGACTCCGAGCTAAACGCAGAATATTAGGGTTTGCCGTTTTAAACACGAGCTCTCTGCCGATGCTGCCCTCAGCATGATGACCCACTCTTTATATAACCTACAGCTTGGGGCATATTTTGTCATCAGATGACTTGTTTTATAAAAACCAAAAGCCAGCCGAGCTTTAATGGGGTACTTAGCCCTTATTTTTGGACTCTGTTTTTATAATCAAATTGTATGGAGAGAAAAAAAACAACTTTTTTTTTATGACATGTGATGTTAATGTTAGACTGTTTTGGGGTGCAGTTTGATACAGTGCTGGTTAGAAGTTTACATAATGCTCTTCATCATCGTCATGAATGTCATAAGTTTGGACGTATTTAGCCAGTAGATTTTGACAACCATTTGGTGCACGAGTTTGAAATTATTGCTATTTTTTTTCTGATTTACAAAGGTTCAGAACTATACATTTAGGCTCAGATATATATACATACTCTTCCCACACAACTTCCCCATTCACTATTTGGTTAAATTCCTTTCGAGAGTTCCAACACAAAGCCACGTTTTGGAGCCACTGACCTGAAAATGATTGAGCAAGTTTAAGCTTTTAAATTCAGAGAGTTGAGGACAACTCGTTTCTCGTTTTCAGAACCTTGATAGTGACCTGCTTTATCCATTCCAGGCTGCATGTGCGTTTGGGGTCTTGTTGGAACATAACCTGGAAGGAAATTGGCTGCAAAAGTTCACAGATATAATGAAAACATGAAATTGTGGTATCACTGAATAATGCTAGGACTTTTCACTCTTCTCTTTGTTTACCATCATCATGGCGACCAGTCACAAAGAACTATGAAGACAGTGACTCGCTTCAACATCTGCAACTTCACCAGAAGCCAACAGGCTGAAACTTGGACAGTGATCCCATTAAAACTGGGTTAGTAATTAATAATGCAAAGTTAAACTTCTCATATGTGACCCAGGCCTCGAAACTTTTGAGAACGTGTGGATGATGCTAAAAAGTCAGGCGTATGCCGAGAAACCAGCCAGTTGAAATAAAATCAGCCAATTCTAATACAAAGATTGATCAGTTATTAGCTGAAATTGTGCCAGAGGCATGTGATTTGGGTGCAACTTACTAAATGACATTGAACCAAAAGTGGATGGTGATGTATGTATAGTTTCGAGAGAAAATCAAGAGTAAGTTGTGTTAATTAAAATAATCATTGAAGTTGTATGGTCATTCCACCCTGATATACAGACGGCACCATTTAATGCCCTAAGTAAATATTCATGGGCTTGTGTAAACTTGTGACTGACTCTGTTTTTATGAATGTATGTAAGTTGTTACCAAAATGGCCAAACCTTCAATAGATAGATCCTTAAAAGTTTTGTTGGTCACACAATGGATTATTTCTGCATGCAGAGTAGTAATAGTAATAATGTATAGTATTCTGTTGTTCAGTTTTTGCATTTTATTCACAGACAAATTGATTTATCTGCTTTGTATTGTATCTGCTTTTGTGACAATATTTTTCTTGAATTGAAAGATTGTTGTTGTTTTTTTATTATTATTATTATTTTTGCTGTGGCTATGATCATATTTTCTCTAATGTGATTTCTAAATAAATTTGTGGTCTTGTTGAGTTTGCGTCCTACTATTTTATTCATAAAAAACGCTTCAATTACTAATTGATAAGAGGGGCGTTTTCCTTGCATGACTGATTAGTGTTTACGCGGAAGAAAATGGGACTGCAGGTACCATGTAGGCCTGTAGGGGGCAGCAGACTACTGAGGGAAAAACCTTCAAGACGTTCTCTGCTGGAAATGCTGCTGATGCGGCTGCCTCTGACGTTAATCCGCTTGGCAAAGTCTGACGTGTTTCACTGCACTCCTCAAACACACGCTGTTGATGTCTCTCTGGAAGAGATAAAAGAATATTCTCAGGAATGATTCAGAATCAAGTAAATAATATTCAGAGCTTAAGAAAGGAGATACTGCTTCTTCTTTTTTTTTTTTTTTTGAAGCAGAAGGTAAAAACCAAGTTAATCCAAACCTTGCAGCGCTCAGTGTGAAAAATCGTCACCGTACAAAAAAGAAGCTTTGACTACTTTTGGTTTATAAATGGGAAAAGATGATTTACTCCTCAATCCACCCACTAATATTGCAGTATTGCCGTAAAGTTATATAAAGCTGTGATGCTACTGAGAGAGGAAGAGAGGGGGAGAGACTTGGAGGGGGAACAACAGGTCTCCTTTTCTGCAGTGGCTTCTCACACTGAGCATCCAGGACTTAAACTTTGCGCACACAAATATTAAGATTCTTGTTTGCAGGTGTCTACATGTGTAGCACAAAAGTTTTTATTTATTTATTTGTTTGTTATTTCCATCATTCAGAAACTGGGAGCATTCATGGATTCAGAGCACGGGTAGACTTCTGACTCAGTTTAATGCCATTTATGACTGGAGGCAAAAAGAGGTGCGCTCTCCAGTGTCATAGTTTCACTCGTAGGTTTTGTAGTTGTGTCCAGAGGTGTTTGCAGAGAAAGTCATCTGTTGAGATAAAAGAAAAATGCTCCTCGTCCAGCCTGTTTGTCTGCATATCATCGGACCGACGAAGCTCAGATTGAGACTTTTTTTTTTAATTACCCTGAAAGTATAGCGAAAGGAATTCTGCGACGTATTCATTAAAGGTTAATCTCACCATTACCCTCTATAATAACTTTGTAATGTATGTTTAAAATATAAAAGTAGTGACGCAGAATGAGGGGAGTCTGTGCATCATCAGTTCTCTCCACCTTTCAGAAGAAATATGAACTTATCCCCAGAAGCTGGAGAAGAACTATAGGGAGGAGGGGAACAAGGAATTGGCTCATGATTCAGCGTGTTCTGAATTTATTTAGCCTTTGTTTCTTCATTGTTTTTATGGAATGCTACCGACACGCCTCCGCCCCGCAGATTACAGAATAAACTTCTTTTTCCACCTCTCTCTCTCTCTCTCTCTCTCTTTCTCTCTCTCTCTCTCTCTTTCTCTCTCTCTCCTCGCGTACACAAAAGGAGTGACATCATTCTGTCACCAGTAGAAAATAGCATGCTTTCCATTGACATCATCCTACATCCCGTTGCCGGGAGACGGAGGGAGTCAACACGAGTTACTATGGTGACTGCACTTCACCTTCAAAGCTCCTGACCTTTTTGGTTGTCTATGGTAGATGCATGACTGTGTGTGTGTGTGTGTGTGTGTGTGTGTGTGTGTGTGTGTGTGTGTGTAAAGCAGACAAGGCAAACAGTGGTCCCCGGTGTTGTGTAATGTGATGTGAACGTTCAAGGTCTTGTTGAGTCATTCGCTGCGACGTAGAAGCTTTTTACAGTGCATTTGGGATTGAAAGGGCTCCGGGGGGCGGGAGGGAAGGGGGTGTAGCCTGCAGCTGATCAAAATGTCATCAATGTCTCCAAACATAAGAATAATGGAAACTACTGTGTGACGGAGATAAAGGCCACTAGATTTTGTATATAAAGTCTATCGAAAGATAGATAGCTGTGGTTTTGCAGAGACAAGGATAGGGACATCTTTAACAAAATGTTATGTAATATGTAAATTTACATAGATGTACATACCTAGGTGTTTGTTGCTGTTAATTTAGAAGATTTTTGCTCATAACCACTGAGAAGCCAAAATTTTAGCTCCCCCCCCCCAGAAAAAAAAAAAAAAAAAAAGGAAAAGAGATCTCGCAAAAATGTTATGACCTTCAGAATCACATAAACCCTCCATAAGGAGGGTCAGTATTAGCGGCTAAAGGTCATTGCTGAAAAAATAAATTGGGTGTCCATAGGCACAGGTGTTTAATGGTAAGGAACAAAAACGGTGTGCATTAAAAAGGTTTAAGGAGATCCTAAAGGTGTTGTCTGCTCTCCTCAATCAGAAAAAATGGTCAAGCATCTTACCAAGAATAAAGGAGAAGGAAGCACTGGAAGGTTGCACAGTGTAGTCTTTCTTTTTTGTTGTTTTTACATAGAAATACATTATGTGTTTCCTATGGAAGTGCAAAAGTCATTAAGATAAGAGCAAATAACTGTAATGCATGTTCTTTATTATGCTAATTTTCTCTACAATAAGCTAAAAATGCAGCATTTTTATGACAAAAAGTAACATTTCTGATGGGATTCATGAATCAATATGGATCCTCTTATGTTTTAAATATTAATAGGTATGCTTATAGTAGTTTTCTGATTTTTTTGGATGGATGTTTTTCTATTTTAGTTTAGAATTTTTTATTTTAGATACTGGTCACTATGTCTTTTAAATTGTTTGCCATGTTTAGCCAAATCTGTTTTAGAGTAAAAGTTGAAAGGCCAACATTAATAAAAGAGTAATAGTTT